GAGGTTATTCATATGGACACACCTTGTCAAGTTAGAGACATATCCATCCGAAAACTTTAGTTGTTTAATCCATTCTAGCAATTGTATTTTTTGTTGTTTGTCCGAGTGTAACAAGATTTTGGGTATTTTCTAGAGTTTTCATTTATTTCTAATTCGGGCGATCGACAATATAGCTTTAAGTCTTCTCTAGAATTTGCATTGTCTTTTATTTTTCTTGACACATTCATAATTGTATTAAACATATTATCGAAGATATTTTTTTTAATGTGCATCACATCCAAATTATGCCGAATTAGATCGGAATTCCAATAAGGTAGATCTTAGAATATACTATGTTTTTTTCCAACCACAATGTTTAGAAACATTATTGTTATACTCATCGAATTCCTCTTTCGTTACTTTTAACAACCCTCAATGGTTTAATTCTTGTAAAATTTCAATTCCAGACTTGATCGGAGGAGCAATGTCTACAACAACTGAATTTCGCTTGAACGCGTTCCTATTTCGCTTGAACGAGATGACTTAGTGGGAGAAACTTTTGATGACAATTAAACCATAAAGTTTTTCTCGCTGTTTTGAAGGTCGAAAACATCGAATTTTTCATACAATATGGGCATGCTTGTTTTACCCGTAGTACTCCAACTCGATAACATTGAATATATAGAAAAATCACTAATTGTCAACATAACGGCGACTCTCATCCGAAAATTATCTTTATGGGACACATCATAAGTAAGAGCACCTACTTCCCATAATTCAACTAACTCTTTAATTAAGGGTTATAAGTATACGTCTAGATTGACTTTAAGGTTTTTAGGACCAAGGACAATTACGAGTTAAGAACATATATTCTTCTTTTACACATTTTCATGATGGCAAATTGTAAGGCGTTACAATCAAAAGCCACGAAGAATATTGTTGTCCAGATTTACCAAAAAGTTGAAACCCATCGGTGCAAACACCTAATCTAATATTCCTAATTTTTGATGCAAAAGAAGGATGTATTTGGTCAAAATGTCACCATGCGAAGGAGTCTAAACAATGACGCATGACATTTGGCTTACAAACATGTTGCACATGCCACGTCATGTCGTTAGTGGTGGCGTTTGATGTATACGTCCTTTGTAATCGTAGGGTTATCGGAAAATAATACATCTTTTTCTAAGGGACATATGTTTCTCTAATCGACCCCCGCCTAGGATTTTGATATCGAGGACGATCACATATTTTACAAGTGATTCTCTCGTCTGTCTTCACCCCAATAAATTATGCAACCATTAATGCAAATATGGACCTTTTCAATGGGTAAACCCATCATTTTCACCATTTTTTTGTACTATAAAAGTCTTCTACCATGCAGTTATTGGTAGGCATCAACTCTTTCATAAGTTGACATAAGTCATCATAACACCTCTCCGAGAAATGATGCTCGGACTTGAGATGCAACAAACGAGACATTGTTGATAACCGTGAATGGTTTTCTAACCTAGGCCATATTTCTTTATTCGATGCATCTAATAAATCATAAAACGCTTGTGCAATAGGGTTTGGGTCTTCGTCCGTATTAGACGGATTAAAAGATGGACCAAGCTGCATCCATCACTATTGTGTGGTATCCATTGACTTGACAATCATTAAATATTTATCCTTGTTCAACATAATTAAACGAATTGTCATTAATGACTAAATCATTCTCTCTATGACGTCTCCACACATAATACCCGGACACAAACCCATATCTCAACAAATGATACTTAACGGCATCGAGGTTTTCATAACTACAATTTTGACTTTTTTTTTTTTACATGTACATCGTATCTTATTTCCATCCATGCACTCGGATGACTAACCGTAAATTAATAAATTCATTAATTCCTTCTATGAAATGCTTATTTAATAATCCATCGGTTAATCTAAAGTCAATCCAAGAACGATTCGAATTCATTTTAAACAAAATAATTTTTAAATTACTAATTAATTTTGTAATTACTTAAAAAACCTTTATTAATAAATCTCAATTTTTTTTTTAGATACTAGTTATTTTTTTAATGAGCAAAAATTTAAAATATTTCTAATAACTAAATTTTTTATGTACTTAATTTAATTTCGAAAAAACTTAATTTTTTTTAAAAATAATTAATATTGTAATTACTTAACTACTTACGTTAATGAACAACTAAATAAGGTTAATTACTAATAAATTTTAAATTTACTAAATTAATATATATTATGATTCAAATAATATTTAATTCAATTAATTAAATTCATAATTACTTAATTAATACTTTAACTTAATGAACAACTAAATAATCCTAATCACTTATTAATTTTTTTAATTACATACTAAATCTAAATTCAACAAGTATATATTAATTTTTTTAATACAACTTATTTTTTTAATTACTAACCATTTAAAATATTTCTAATAACTTAATTTTTTATCTATTGAATATAATTTCGAAAAAAACTTAATTTGTTTCTTCTTAATTAATATTGTAATTACTTAACTATTTAACTTAATGATCAACTAAATAAGTTTAATTACTAATAAAATATGAATTTACTAAATAAATTAATATTATAATTTAATTTTTTTATTATATTTGTAATTACTTAATTAACACCTTAACTTAATTAATGAACCACTAAATAACCTTAATAACTTATTAAGTTTTTTAATAACGTACTAAATCTATATTCAACAAGTATATATTCATTTGTTTAATGCAACTTACGTTTTTAATTAATAAGCATTTCAAATATTTCTAATAACTTAATTTTTTATCTATTGAAAATAATTTCAAAAAACGATATTTTTTCTTAATTAATATTATTGGAATTACTTAACTATTTAACTTAATGAACAACTAAATAAGCTTGATTACTAATAAATTTAAAATTTACTAAATAACAATATATTACAATTTAATTAATATTTAATTTATTGATTAGTTTTGTAATTACTAATACCTTAACTTAATGAACTACTAAATAAACTTAATAACTTATTAATTTTTTAATCACAATAAGTTAACTAAATTAGCAATTACCAATAACACTAACAACAATAATAATTAAAGTAACAACATAAAATAATAACAATTAAATTTTCTAACTAAAACAATTAACAATTAATTAAACTAAGTAAATTCATAATTAACAATCAAATTAGTTCAATCAACTATTAAAAATAACAATAACAATAAAATTAACAATAATATTTAATTAATCAAGAATTAACAACAACATTAACAATTAATAGTAAATTAACAATTAAATATTTAAATTAACTATCACAATTAACACTAATTAATACCAATACATTTTTTAAAACAAATAAACTATCTAAATTAACACATTACAAAAATATTAATTAAATCATCAATTAATAAAAAAAATAACACATGCAATAAACAATTATAAGTAATTAATTTAACAAATTAAAAATATTTAATTAAATTATTTTAATTAACTAAATAACATAAAAAATTAAAAATTAAAAGGAGGGGTTAGATTGGGGTGGACCTTTCACCAAGAGAAGGAGGAGAGGGGTCTGTGCTAGTGGAAGCCTTCGTCGGAGCTGTTTGGCCAAAAAACGACGGGTGGAGAGATGGAGAGAAAGAAAGAAAGGAGGAGGAAAAGAGGGAAGAAAGGGGGATTTTTAAGGGGAGAAATGTTAGGAGGAAAGAGAGGAGAAGATTGGATGGAGAAAATGGCGGAGGAGGCGGATCCGAGTGCTGCCGGAGGAGAAGAAGAGAGGAGGTGGAGAGAGAATTGAAGCCGCCAATTCTCGGGGAGAACGGCGGTTTTAAAAGGAAAAGGTTTTGCGACGGTCTGCGCCGTTCACTAAACCCGTCGCTAATAGTTTTTTAAATTTCAAAATTTGACCATTTCCACCAACGGTTTGATTTTACCGACGATTATCAATGGTCTTCGGACCGTCGCTAAATTTTTTTTTCCAACGGTTATTTTTTAAAAAAATCGTTGCAAAAATTGGTTTTAATAGTTATTTATTTTTTATTATTTTTTTAGCAAGGGTTTAGCGATGGTTTAGGACCGTTGCTAAACCGAATATTTTTGCAACGAGTATTTTATTTAAAAACCGTTGGTAATCGCAAATGTTTTTTTTTCAAATAATCTCATTTTAGAAACGGTTTAGCGACGGTCTACGGATCGCCGCTAAACATAGGTTTTTTTGCCATGATGTTTTACCAAAAAACCGTTGCTAATCTATTTTTTAAGTGTAGCAAGGGTTTAGCGACGGTCCGGGACCGTTGCTAGACCGAATTGTTTTTTTGAAACAATTTTTTATTAAAAAACCGTTGCTAATCATCCTTTTTTTCTCTCGTTAGCAACGGTTTAGCAAAGGTTTTGAGACCATCGCAAAAACGGTCTGCATGTGGGGAAAAAATTAAACCTATGACGTTAGCAACGGTTTGGTTACACCGTTGCAAAAAACGATCGCAAATGAGAATTTTAGTAACCTTTTTTTGGACCGTCGCAAAATACCCGTCGCAAATCCATCTTTTTGTTGTAGTGATTTTTGCTAGATCGTTGGACTTTTTGAAACTTTGATATCATATTGAAAAACTATCTCAATCCAAAAATTTAAACTGTTAAGTCACATCTAAAAAATAATTTTATATTACTTTTTAATAGTGAGATGATCAATTTCTCATAAAGAAAAATAATAATATTGACATAATATACTTACAAAAGACTCTGAAAAATACAAACAAACATATAGTAGAGGGGAGAAAGGAAATTTGAATGGAAAAAGAAAATAGTAATCCATTCTATAGTGCATCCTATAATTAATTGCTAGTAAAATATATACATATATATATACACCAAGTAAATTAATTACCTAGCAGACCATATCGGAGACATCAGAAACCAACAATCATATAACAACAATTGTTGTTGAGCTGATGTCTCCATGGTAATTCATTCCTATTATAAAAAAAGAAGAGTTTCCATGTATCCTCTTCTATCAGACAATGGATAGAATGAACCTGTCCAGTCCTGAGCTCCCTCCAGGATTCAGGTTTCATCCAACAGACCAGGAGCTTATCATCCATTATCTCAAAAAGAAGGTCTCATCTTCTTCAAATCCTCAAGTTTCGATAATAGCAGACGTGGATATCTACAAGTTCAATCCATGGGAACTTCCAGGTGCTTAATTCATTCTTCTCAACTATTTCTTAACCAACAAAATATCCTTTTAATATGTTCTTAACTCGTAATAAAAGATATGGATTTTCTTGCTATTTTTGTTGGGATCGGGAAAAAAGAAAAAAGAAAGAAAGATTTTCTTGCTTTAATGTAATGATATCCGGATGTATCTTGAAGCATTATTCTCTTTGCTCATTGTTGTTCCGTTGACCTGTGTAGGAAAAGCCTTGTTTGGGGAGAACGAGTGGTTTTTCTTCAGCCCGAGAGACAGGAAATACCCCAATGGTGTACGTCCAAACAGGGCAGCTGGATCAGGTTACTGGAAAGCAACAGGAACCGATAAGCCAATCCTCACCTCCAACGGATCACAGTGCCTTGGGGTGAAGAAAGCTCTTGTATTTTACAAGGGCCGGCCTCCGAAAGGCATAAAAACAAGTTGGTTGATGCTTGAGTACCGGCTTCTTGATGATACCCATCATCTGCATAGGCTCAGGGGATCGATGCGAGTAAGTACTCTTTTAAGCTGTTCTTTTAGATAAAAGCCTGTGAAAAGAAACAGTAGCGTTATTGATCATGAGAGCAACGCGTAGAAACAGTATCATACATACGTACATGGAACTGTTTAATATATCTGCTTCTACGTATGATAAAACTTCTTGGTTCACGAAGGAAAGTTTCAAATTAAGCAGAATAATAGATATCAAACCAACCATATCGCTATGAGAAGTGGAAATCGATTTCCCTACCCTAACATTATGGCAACAAGAGAACTCCATTATAATCAATATTATGCAGAAACCTATATACTGATCACTTTTACCTTCTGTAGTTCTGTTCATTGAAAGATGAAAGCAACGATTGCAGCTTCTATTATTCATCTTGTATTTTAAAATTATTAGCTTTTACCACAAAACTTTCATAGACTGAATTTTAGTGTCTTCTTCTCTTAATTTCCTAGTTGGATGATTGGGTTTTATGCCGAGTTCGCCAGAAAAGCAACGCACAGCCACAGAATGGGGAGAGTCATGGCAGAAGTTTTAGCAGCTTCTCTCCATTTACCAACTTAAGGGGCTTACAAGGTCAAGAAATATTCAAGACGAAGAACAATACCCTTACCGACTACTACTATGATCTTCAGCCCTGTCTTATGGCTCCTAGTACAGAAAGTGAAGATGCAGATGAGAAAGGACAAGTGGAGTTCCAAGAAGTATCTCCAGGATACTTGATCTCAGGTGTGGATTCAAATTCTCAACCAACGATGGTTTCCACCGTCAAAGAGAGACTTGAATATATCAAGAAGATACTCTCTATCGGAGCTTTGGAAGAGCTAGTGCCAGCAACTCCAAAGAAGAGGCTGCATGTATCAGTTTCAAATAATGCAGAAAATGAATGCATTTTCGAAGAGCTACCTTCACCACCGAAGAAGAGGCTTCATATATCCTCTTCAAGCAATGCAGAAAATGAATGCATTTTTGAAGTTTCTTCTCCTAGTGTTTCAGCATCATCTCAGCAGAGCTTTCAGGGCTCTTGAAATAAATTTATCATGTAAGGCTCGTGGTCGCGGGGATCAATATCTATCGATCTTTCTATATAGAATCTAGATCTATAAATGAAAGCTGAAACCACTTGGTTTGGGTAATAAATAGTACAAGTATTGTTTGGAATTAGAATGCTATGTAGACAATTTATAAGCATGGTTAATTTCTCTTTCAATGGCAAAAGAATTTCTTCTTCATTGCTGTTAAGCCTCCCGACACAACAATATTATTTATATTTTCACAAAACATATATTGACATAAGAATTTCACTAATAAACAACTAGATTTTTGTTATTTTATTGAAGTTATATACTGAGACTTTTTTTCCATTCAATATATAATGGCACAGATACAACACACTCGGTAATTACCAGATAAACTAACTTTCACCTACCTTAAGACCTTTTTCTTCGAATGAACGGCACATTTCTTCTGCAATCTTCTCGTACCTTAAGCTTTATGGCCGTTATGGATGAGTTGAATAACCAACTGTTTGCATCCTTAAAAGAAAAAAAGACGATAATACGCAGATCATAGTTATTAAATTCGGATATTTACGCTTACCTACCGAGTTGAATTAAAGATTCCAGGGTAATTAACAAAGTTTTTACACTCCGATAAACTAAGTATGAATTATATTCATGTACAGTACAAGCTAAAAATAAACCATAAAAAACTTTGTTAGGTAAGTCAAGAAAATATGATGATAAAGTCGAGTTATCAAAACAAACAAATTCGATTGCCAACAGAAACACTATAATTGGCAGCAAAGACTCCAAAAACTCTTACAAGTATTTATCAAACACAAACAGAATGTAACAATGCACACATACACAAGTCTTCCTCTTACAAAGACTCACTCAATTGTGAGCTATTCAACTTTATTTCTATCATTCAATTTGGTATTAGAACCTTTCTGCAACACTACAACAATGGCTTCTGGTAGTTTCATTTCCTAGACAACTCCAAAAAACATTATTGTCATTGCCCAAACCACCCAAAACAACGTGACTCAGCTCACAAATGCTCACTATTGTGTTCTTCTTAAACTAAACTCAACAAATTAACTTTTATAGCGCACTCAGATGAGACTTTTTTAATATGGCAAGGTCGTTTTGGATTCATTGATCGCAGTAATGAATGTCCTCCTCACATCCTTTTCTCCAAAAACTAGCATACCCCAACCGAACCCTCAACTTACTTATCGGGTTCAGTAAGACCAACTACTAATGAGTATGCTTATTGCTTCTTTGTCCACAGAGATTCTACGTATTGTCATTGATTGTGGCACCTTCTTATGAAGTCTGGACCACATTGGAGAGTGCCCTTGCCTCTACCTCTAATAGCCGCATAGTGACTCTTCATCTTAGCCTCCAATAGCACAAGCAAGAAAATACTAAAAGTGTTAGTATCTACAATGAGCAAAGCCTTATAGTGATAGACTAATTGCTGCAGTAAAGTCTTTGTCCATGGTTATTTCAACCTCCATTTTTTGAGATTTATTTGGAGTTTTAAATAGTACTTGATCACAACTCTGACTGTGCGATCTGATCTGGTATGTTTCACTGAATTGCATAACTTGTTGTTAAGTCATGAATTCTTGCACATAGACTTTCTACAATATGTTTCGCCATTTGGAACTCATGATCTTTCTTTTGCCACTCCCATGGCTAATTACACTCAAAAAGTGGGAGGTTGCAATGACCTCCTCTTCTGATTAAACAGACTACTCTGGTTCCTTTCTAGAGTACACTGTCAGTTGTGTAATTCTAATACATACAGTGCTGTTAATTTCTCTTAAAGGTATTTCCAATCTGCTATCCCTTCGAAAAATATGGCTATTTATCCTCTTGCTTCTCCTAGCTATCAGACATATCCATGGTGTCCTGACACTAATGCCTTATATCATGTCACCCCTCACATGGCCTGGGTCATTATAAGCCATATCATGGACCAAATCAGCTACAAATAGGTAATGCCTTCCCATAAAAATTATTGGCATTACTCATCTTTATACGCCAACTAGAACTTTGTGAATGTCCGATGTATTACGTGTTTTAAAAATTGCACGCCTTTTACTGTCTGTTAAAAGATTAGCCCGTTACAATAATCTATTTTGGGAATTTCATCCCTTTTGTTTTTTGTATTAAAGATCATGTGTAATAAAAACAACTAATCTCTGGATCGAGTAAGGATGATCTATACGTACTATATAGCTCTTTAAATCCAAAAGTTTTTTTTTTTTGTTTAGGCTTCGTAAAAAATATAGTACTCTTGATAGAGTCATATGTATAATCGAGTCATGAATTCTATTTTTCCAAATAATAAGTTTTCGTATGTTGGTAAAAACTTCAATGGTCAATGTGTCTTTTTGTACATTAGGGAAATCATATAGGTTGTCTCTTAATTCAACTGAACATTACGGTGATCATGTTTTAGATTTAATTTTTAGTAACGTAGGAGGACCATCACATTTCCCTACAATTGATGGTCAAAAATATTATGTTGTTTTTATTGATAATTTTTCCAAGTTTATTTGGTTTTATCCTATTTCTAAAAATTATGATGTCTTTAATATTTTTATTGAATTTTAAACATTGGTAGAAAGATAATTTAATTGCAAAATCCAAAAAGTCTAAATGGATTTGAGGGGGTGAATTTCGGTCACTTAGTAGATTTTTTGACAAAATTAGAATTATTCATCATATCATGTATCCTCACACACATGAGCAAAATTATACTATTAAAAGAGATATCATCATATTATGAAAACATGTCTAATGCTTGTTGACGGCACACATGGAGGAGCTTAGGAATCGGAGTTACGATCAAGTTAATCAAAGAGAACAAGAAAACCCTAAATAAACTGGTTTGCAAAGATATCTCGGGTACGAGGTTGGTTACATATGGGAATGATATAGCATTATTGACATCTCATCTTACCTAAGGTAGGCTGCATTGAATACATATGAAAAAAAGCTCGATTTTACTATGCTATGCTTGTGGCGCCCCAGACTCCTTTACCGATTACCTAAAAAGTGTGGTCGGGTGCACCACGGTTTAGAGACCGAAGTCTCAAATTTAATCCGATACACATACACAAGGTACCGAATATTATTAAAAAAGTTACAAAATATAATTTGCAATAAAAAAAATAGATCCTATAATTTTCGCGTCACACATGAGCCTTTTTCTAGGAGGAATCGACATCTTCATTATCGGCATTAGTATCACATTGGATATTAACGAGTCTACTCTATTTTGAAAACAAAAGCCTATTATGACATGAAATAAACACGAGTGAGCCGAAGCTCAATAAGTAAGGTGATGCACGTGATACGCAATGATTTTCCGACTTCCCCCACTTTGACTCATCCAATTTTAATTTCGGGTACCTTGGGTATTAGCGAGTCTACTCTATTTTTAATCCGGGGTGATCGATTCACCTTCTGCTAACAATGAAATTATCCCTCTTTGTAGCCATTATTAGCGGGAGTCCATCGTTCTAATAGTGCGGGCACACATCTTAGAGTAGTACTGCTCTATTTTTAATCCGAGCGATGATCGATTCACCTTCCGCTAACAATTGAATTATCCCTCGTTGTAGCCATTGTTAGCGGGAATCCATCGTTTAACGAGTGCGAGCACACGAGCTTAGAGTACGTATACGAATTGGATCGTTAATACCCTTTTTATCCAAGCAGGTTACCAAATTTATCCTATTTCTATCCGATTCGAGTTACCAAAACTCATAGTTTCCGACTCAATGGTTTTCTCAATTTAATCCATTCCCCATATGCATATGATACACGTGATGTATCATGAACCACATTTCACCATGTCATGGGTACTAAACTCGTTGATTCCATACCATTGAGTTCACATAAGAAATTCAAGACCCTTCTAATATGGTTAATTCATTTCATATATCATGAGCCACATTCCATATCTCATGGGCACCAAACTATTTATGTCCATACCATTTTTGAAATTCAATCCGGACTTGGGACTTCACTAATATTTTCATAATAGTCTTGTATAAAATATATAACCCATCCATTAGGTTTACTCAAGTCTTATATTTTAGTCCTAGCTTTAATGGCATTTAATTTAAGCCTTAATAGTCAACTTATAATTTTAGTGGATTTAGGTCTTAATTTTTGTTTTTCTTGAATTCTCTTCTTCTAATACTTCATTTTATCTCCCTTAGGATGCAATTAAACCTTTACTCCCGAATTTGGGTGGTGGGAACTCAATTTCTAAAAGTAGGGTGTAAGCCGAGTGTTTCCTAGTAAAACCAAAATTTTTGTTTTTCTTATGATCTAACATTTCTACACTTTATTTTATACTTATTTAGATATATTTAAATCATTGATTCGTAATTTGGGTGAATGATATTCAAAACTCAAATTCAAGGGTTTTTAGCTGAATGGGTTAATTATAGGCAACGGTTTGTCTTTTGCTCTTAAGTCTTTTATTTCCATCTTAATGTACTAAATTCTACTTAAGTGGATTACCTTGAAAGTGTAGATCTTTAGATCCATAAACATAATCCAACTTGGCCATTTTAGTACCAAGGCCCAATAGTGTTCTTAGGATATCCAAGCCCATTTTATTTTAATCCAAGCCCATCCTTGTTTTAAACCAAGTCCATTTGATTTAATCCAAGTCCTTTTATTTTAATCCAAGTCCCATTTTATTTTAATCCAAGCCCATCTTGTTTTAATCCAAATCTTTTTGTTTTAATTCAAGTCCCATTTTATTTTAAACCAAGCCCATCTTATTGTAATTCAAGTCCATTTATTTTAGTCCAAGTCCCACTTCATTTTAATCCAAGCCCATCTTATTTTAATTTAAGTCTATTTCTTTTAGTCCAAGTCCCACTTCATTTTAATTCAAGCCCATCTTATTTTAATTCAAGTCCATTTTCATTTTAATCCAAGCCCATCTTATTTTAATTCAAGTCCATTTGTTTTAGTCCAAGTCCCACATT